ATCAAGGAATGCAGTTTTGTTGAACTACGCATCCTATCATCCTTGAGAGAAACTTGCTCCTTATATTGACAATAACTTGGCTTACACAGCGTCAAAGAGCGATTTGGGTCTCTTTCCAAAGGAAAAACGGAAAACAAGTGTAAATTACTCAAGTGAAATGGATGGGGTATATGTGACAATACTATTTTTGTGTGTGCGTTTAGATGCGCCAACATCAGAGTATTTTCAAGGACTCCATAAATCTCACATACGACAGCACCTTGTGACGCACAAATCCGTCACTCTACTGTCGCTTCAGAGGGGGCGAGGTCACAGGTCTTTAAAACAGGCTGTTTGATGAGCCATTATGGAAATTAGATCTTCTAACAATAAGGCACCATTAGTTCATAAAAGATATAAATACCGGTAGTAGGGCTATCATTGACCAAAATTGCAAACGCATTCCACTGAGGATTGTCATAAAACAAACCACGATGGGTGACGCACCAAGTGACGAAAATGCAAGCGCTCAACCATTTCAACAGGTTTCCTACGCCCTTGAGTTTTATCAGCAACGGCGGCCGTTGCACCACGAAAGGCTGGCTCAAAGTGAAGGCTAAATTGTCCTGCAGAAAAAGGCGAGCTGTGTCTAACAGGCCTTCATCCCCCTTACAGACTCAGATGTAACCCTCATAAACCTCACTAAAGCCCTCACTGACACCGGTGAAGTTACCTTTGTCTTGCTCGTCTCCACGCTATGTTCATTCAATCACGTCTTTTCATTTTGGTTACCTACTTTTTTGTTTGACCACTAGTGTCTATATTTTTTAGATTCTAATATTGATAGCATCACTACTATTAATTCTCTTTTCAACCACACTGAGCAAATAATGGTCAGCAACGCCAAACCCTCCATATATAGCGTGTCATGAGTAAGATTTGACGAACAGCTTCATTGCACATCCCCACCAGTTGTGGCATCGTAGTTCGATGCTACAGTAGTTTAATGAGAAGTTGTATTTCTGCATGCTTTTTGAATTATTCTCTGAATTAGAGTTGTTTCCTAGCATTAATTCTATGTGGGCATTATATTATTGAACTGCGTTACGTTTGCGTTTTATCATAAAACTTTGCTTGATGCGGATATCTGAGCAGAGTAATGCACGAAAGAAGGCAGTATGTTGAAAAGTTAAGCTGAATTTTCAGGAAATCGAGATGTTATATCTTGGCTGTTTGTCGAAGCTCCCCAATACCCACCGTATAATGGTGACGTAAGCCGTATAATCACCAGGTTTCACCGGCATCCCGTACGAGCTTCCCGAGGTCTACCAAATCTACGGCAGGTCGGTGGTGGGTCAAACTGAACAAACAGCAAAATTCACAAACCATCAGCTTCAATTTTAAGTATGCACTGAGGAAGTCGCCTGATAGGGCGATGAAAGCTTCGCAACTAAACTATCCAAGTCAGAGAACACAACCACATCAAAATACCCTCAAAATGCCGATAAATTTAGGTCTTGGGTCTTTAATCTGTATGTAGGCATTAACTGTGAGACAATTCCTTAGTAATCAGTAAGGTGAATGTTTGGTTCCTACCCTAACAAAGAAGCTAGAATTCAGTTTGTTGGCACAGTTCAAAGACACTACAGTACGTATGTAGACTGCCAAATTCTTTGAGAACACAACGAGGTTGTAGTGTACATTGATCCTTTGAACTTTTGTTTGAACTCAACCACTCGTTAGGCACTTCTTCATCATTTGAGTTTTAGCTCTCATGTACATATTTGCCTCGCTCTCTTGTTGTGCTTTCATTCAGCGCACTCTCCGAGTCTGCCACCAATCAAGGCTCCAGATAAGTGGGTAAGAGCGTTTATTTTTGAAGTCCACCTTAAGTCTAGTATAACTCTTACAAGGTCTCAAGAGTCATCTCTCGACCACAGACCGTCACCCTTGACGATGTCAGAAATACTTTTAGACATCGTAAATGATTTTCACTTCCTCAAAAAGATCCATCTCAAGTGATGCTAACCTGAGAAACCTTAAAGCGCTAGTAGCGCCAGGATCACAGTCCTGCATTATGTATATTATTTCATCATATATCTGTCGTTACCTAACATAACTGCAGGCCTCCTTGCAAAAGGGTATCCCGCCAGAAATCTACCACATAACTATAGCTGATATTAAGGTGACTCATGATTCATCTCCTGGATGGCTTCTCTGCTCAACAGGCGATTATCATAAGCTAAGGGATATTACCTATAACATAAAAAGCTGAATCTTTTATGAACGCGTTAGTGTCCAAGGCCGCTCTCTACTGGACAATCGCCATCATATAAATGCTCCCAGGGTTCGGAGAAGGGCTCACACGGTGACAGTTGATACTACAAGAGAAACCTTTCAGGAAATAACGATGGTTAAAAATTGACATGAAGGCTAGTCATACCGCTACAAAGCTAGGGTTAATGGCATAGCACAATAATGGGAAATTTGATACGATGCTCCTTAGACCAAGAAACAGTCAGTTCCTTTGCACCGTGGCTTCTGTTCGGCAGATGTCTGAGGAAGTATACGGGGGTGTTCGGCAGTAGCAACTGGCTTAGATTGTAAGACGTTTGACGGATGGAAGGGTGGATCCGTGCCGCCTGACATCATCACATGGAGGAGAAGGGGCTTTACCTAAGTCCTCCTCAACATTTTGGAGTACAACAACTTCCGTGGACGCAGTAATTGACCCTCCTGTTCATTTGGAGACGCAGGTAATTCTGGCATTTTCCACCATCAATTTTTTTACACATCTGGAAATGTATTGTGTTTCTGCTGCACCATGCGACAAAACACTTCGCAATAGCCTTCATCCCCCTACTCGCTTGAGGTTATCTTGTGGGTACGGGCTTAGAAATCCTCCTTTCAGCACCATCCAAGTAAGTGTTCGTTAGCGAGGTCCACCACATCATAGGTTTCTACCTCTTGTGATCAGGGTTGCATTCGGCCCTTGTTTCGTATGTAATGGCAAGGAAGTACCTACTCCGTACTGCTAGCTCATGCTGATTCAAGCCTACTCCCTCACCTGATACATTTGCCTGCTTTGTTGCATGCAACCACACGCAAGCAATGGCACACCAAGGAACAAAGCTATTGTCAAATACCACTTTAAATATTAAGAAGTGGTGTTCTTTGGCGAAACCTAACTTTAGTTGTCAAGTTTTCAACTTAGAAAGCCCAGTAAACCAGGCTAGGATTTCAACATCCCTAGAATCAGAGACAACCACAACTACACACTAGTCAGGTTGACCACGTGATTACTACAAAAACACAGTTTAACCGATAGTAGATGTTTATAACTTGGTTTGAATACCAACGGTTCCTACCTTATCTTCGATAACATGCACATTATATTGTAGCAATGCTACAAAAGAAAGCCAAACCCGAAAGTAGCCCAGTGGTACACTCGAAAATAATAATTAAGGACCAAAGATCGAAAGTTATGCAGATTAATCCTTAACTCTCCTGAAATGCCCCCAACCCTCAAATTGTAGTAGTAGACAGGTATTCACTCACAATTTTCGGACGTGACAAGCCAGACAGGCTGAAACAGGCAACTGTCCTAGCACACTCACCATAAAGGTCGTCAGCAGGAATCTCGGAGTGAAAGCCGGGAGGCGTCGAGACAAACTCCCCTGTAACGTTCAGCAATCGAGCCGGTTATCTTCACGGATGACACTGCGTGAGTGTAAGGTAGCAACCTTTTGCTATATCATCCAGCCAACTTCACGACAATCAGTTCGCCACGCCTTTTCACAAATCTTTGAAGCGATTGGTTCAGTATCTCCACCAGTGTCTCTATTAGACGATAAGATTTTTGAGAACACGCACTGCAGCAACGGTCGATTTTTAAAATTTAAGTTCAGTCGAAATGAGATCATTATGCGACTTCGAGAACAAGCTATGCATCATCTTTGCCCCATGGAACAGACATGAAGATTAGATTAAATTACGTCCCTCTATCCCTAATAGGATGTCATGAATACCGTAACTTTACTGCCACCTATTAAGAGTCAATGTAGTCGTCATCTCTTCTTTCAGGAGAACTGTGATCGCACTGCTGGACGTGGTGCCGCCTAATATTCTAAGCAGTAACTTACGAGCACGTAGGACACGGTCACAATATTCTTCAAACCCCAAGACCTGCTGTCTATGCGGATTAACCACTGGGTGGTACCTGCCGACAACCGTATTACTGGACCTAATGGAATCTGCAATCGCTTGTCATTCATTCAGAAGTACCCGGCCTTGGTTGTAGCCATTATGTTCTAGCTGGTAATTTTGACACTTCATCTCAAAACTTAAGGTCTAAACTTGTAACTGCATGGAGAGCTTTTAAGTGGGACCCACTGTCTGCTGTCGAAGGGTCCAGAATGGATGACGGCCTAAGCGATAACACTATGAGAGACAGAGAAGGAATTTAATGAGGCTGGATTACATTCCTACTTGGGACCATTGACAATCGGAAAATGCCTGAATGAAATCTTTTTTCAGTGTTAGTAATCATGTGATCTTAACATTTGGACTGGTAACAGTCTAGCATTTGGAGTAGAGTACTCTTCATACCTATGTGTATCATGTTTATGACTCTATGGGATTTTCCTCGGGACGGATGGAGATGTGGAAATTGGGAGTGACCATGCAAAAATTCACCGACGAATGGAATCGTACCCTCAGCAACAGGAAGATATAGAGAATTTGACTGGGTTCACATTAGCTTGTAAACAGAATATTAGATAAAGAAGACATGAAAAAAACACAGATGGCTCGGGGAGTTCACCTACGGAACAGTTATCTAATCTATCAATATAGCTCTACACATGTGAATACTTGCTGGCATGTACACTGTTGCGGCGATAGTGAATGTATTCCTGCATTCAATACGGAGATTTGCATTGAATGTATGGAGTGTTCATCATCAGGAAGTGAAATTATGTTCTATGATATCTAGATGCAATAATTTGGACACTGGACAATTACTGAAGGCTCTTGAAACATTTAGCACAAACACAGTGGGCGGGTCATTTGGATTCTTGATCTCAGCTGTTCGTTGTTTTGGATATGACCAACTGAACCTTAGCTGAGATAACCCTCAGACTTCGTTTGGGTGGAGGATTACTAGGCCTTATGTTCTTCTGGGTCCTCCCAGAAACAAATTTAAGTTTTCATACACATAAGTCATTTGTGGACCTTTCATGAATTCTGAGTTTGTTGGTGTAGCTGCAGTTAGAAGTGCTGAAGGTGGACCTACTGGAGTTATAAAAAACCAGCAACTCCATCATAGCGATTCTTCGCGTTGTTTACCAAACGATACCTCGGGTGAGTGTATTAAATCCCATTTTTATGGCACTAAATGTGCTTGTCTGTTTCGCATTATGTCATGCTGGAAGTATAAATCGTCTTGAATTGGTTTATAAGGTTTGGTATGTGTTTTGTGTGTATATATTTATCAACAAATGCAATCCTAGGGGTCCTGAGGTTTATTCTTGGGCCATATCTGTTATTCCAAGGAGATTATTACCGAACGTTTGGGGACTTATAGTTTGAGAAATGTACTCAACAGTGCGGACTGAACTAGTATAAGAGTTGGGTTATAACAGCCGTAAGGCATTTCATCCGTAGTCTACTCGAAATCATACTATGTGTCTGAGTGTTTATTATTAATTGTCACTTCCGTGGGTTCCTAGTGGGACGCAGGGCTTCAACAACGCATCACTTTTTCTATCTTCTACTGCCCTCTTCATCTGTGCTTAGCGTTGTCCATAATCTCTCACCTCACACGCTCTCTTCCATGTCACCATCGAACGACCCACTCGTTCTCCATTGGGATTCCACTCTAGCAATGGCTTGGCGCGCGCTGTCATTCGACGGCCTCCTCAACGTATTCCCTATCTATCTCCATTTTCTCCTACATATTTGTTGAGCGATCGGCTCTTGGTTGGTTCTTCCCCATAGTTTCTTGTTACTAATGCTTCCTGGTCATACGATCTTCAGTATAGATCCAGCGAAGGCAACTGTTGATAAATGTCTTTAACTTGTTTGAAATTTTTTCGTAACACACCAAGTTTCAGACCTATGAAGGAATGACTGACTTCACATTTGTGTTTGAAATGCCAATCTTGTTCTTTACGCTGAGTGCAAATTTCCAAACTGGTTTCAAGTTAGTGAAGTTGTATCTTAACTGTCCGACTCTGGCTTTTACATCTTCAACCGTACCACCGCTTGTGGTTGAAACGACACTTCTTAGAGTAATAAAGGAGATACCGTCTTCCGAATTCCTCCCGTTGATAATGGTTCGTGCTGGTTTTGTTGCTGTTGGTTAGTATGTTATCTTCGTCACCTCCGTCTTCTCTATGTTCACCTGGAGTCCTGTCTTTGCTTCCTGCCTTTTCAGTCAGTTTATTGGCTTTCGCCTGCAAGTTTTCGAGTTTGTGTGACATTAGACTTACTTTTTTTACTTTTACTTTACTTCGGCTATCTCCTACGGGAGGATGAGCCGGCTTCATGAACGTCTCGAATCATCGCTGCCCAGGCGCGGCAATTTGTAAGAGAGTTCATGAAGTTTCATGGGAATTTGGTACAAGTGATGTCCCCAGCATCGCTCGGCCTTTTGTTTGAGAGTGCAGCTCTAGCCTTTACACAACCAAGTGTGACCTACAAGGCAGTAGGAGTGGAGTAAGGAGTCCACTATCCATTGGCAGCCGGTGACCGGAGTTCGGTTCATACGCCTTTTTGAATGGGGCCAGACATCCAGGACATCCAACAAGCCCTTTGTCCATACGTCTGCCGGTGAGCTTCATACGCCAGTCGTTGGAGGTTTGGAATCAGGGTTTAGCCATCTCCCCTAGACTGTCATCCAATGGACAGTCAACCCGGTGGAGAGCGCCGGGCATCCGCTTTCGCCCTCTCACTTTAGTGAGAAACACCTCCGCCACGTGAAGGCAGTGAGTAGGACTTCCTCAGGAGAGGCTATGTAAGACGCACGGTCATATGGGAGCATTTCAAGAGGTGTGCGGAGGGGTGGCCAACCCGCAGCGCAAGGCACCCACCCCCGACCATCCTGAGGTTTTTGGAGGCCATTAGACACCAATCATCATCATTCGTCTGTTTACCTAATCGTAAACAAATTGGTTTGTTTATTGTCACTAGCAAGGTGACGTAAGGACCCTCCCTGTTTGTAATTAATGCTGACCAAAAGGCACTAGAAATAACATTTTTTTGTCTTTAATAGCCAAAAGTGGTCCCAGACTTAAGGGTAGGTAAAGCATGGGGAAATAGTATTAGTGGTGACAGATTAGCAAGCTAAAGGTGTTTGATAATCTAAAGAGTTTTGTGTCATTCTTTCTTTCGTTATCTTTATTGTTCATATTGTATAAACCAAACTTTGTGGTGGGAAATTTATTTCTGTTGTCCACCGAAATGTCACTCACAAAATCAGTTTAAGGGTATGGGAGTTATGGCAGTTACTTGACATTAATTGATGTCATACTTTGTTTTCTGAGCGTTTGACGGACTTTTTCTTTGGTGTCAACAGTTTCGGTAGTTAAAAAGAACTTCCAAATGCGAAATCTGTCTGTGAGTTTGGATTTCTCAGATAAAGTTATGGCTAATCCCAGTGGAGTAGTAGATTGTAGTGCTGAATTTTTATAACCAGTTTGTCGTGTGGTGACTGATAATATCAGCGAGGCCTCCTCATTATTGTGCTTACTTCCGTGTTCCTCATCCTTCTCTGTAGAATGTATTATTTTTCACGGAATAAACTTTTCTATCCTTGAGTACTTCTCTTTTAAGGATTATCGTTCGAGTATTCACAAATATATATACTGAAATTCTACATTTTTTTAATGCCTTTGAGATATAACCTCCTGCTTCTAATTCTGTATTTCACAGCTGAATGATATCACCTTAGTCACCGATGACCTCACTTTTTTCGCAAAAAGTTTTTAAATGAAAAGTTTGTTCATTTACCTTCTAAACTTTTAGATGAAGTAGATTGCACGCCTGGCGTACCTTCACTAACAAACCATACACAAGAAGCCAAAAGGAAAAGTGCTAAACTGTCATCCAAACACCAAAACGTCATCAAAACGGATGAGTTATCTACACGTCCTCAACCTCCGTGTTCTGTTAGATTGATTGACGAAGAAGAACGCATTCTGGTTAGTAGTTTTATTTCATTTAAAGCATATTCACATCGAGATTGAATCATTTTGTTTTGTATATTAGTGGCATTGAATTTAAAAGGTTAAAAATATGGTGTATGCGTAGACTTTCTATTATTCTGTTTTGTTGTTTAAGTTTGTGTGTATTTAGTTATAAATTAAGGTTTGTTTTAACTGCGTGTGCTTATGTTACGCAGTCATTCTGTAAAGGTTTGATTGTATTGTATACTTTTATATTCATAGTCTGCTATATTGATGTTGACGGTGTATCTGATTCATATATATATATATATATATATATATATATATATATATATATATATATATATATATATATATATATATATATATATATATATATATATATATATATATATATATCAAACGTTTCACTCCAAGTTTTATGCAGTTTTGTAAAGGCTGACTAAGAAAATAAACTTAGTGAACTATGTAGCAGTGGCAACAAGTTTCAGTCAAGAGCCTGCTAGAACTCACTTCCACAGTCAGTGGGACGAAATATATTAGTGTTGGTTTCAGTGTCTGGTTGTGTTTTGATATCACAAGGGTACACGCAGACCGAAAAGCGAAGATGTTCTCTAAGAAAATAAAGATTATTGCTTTATCTTTTGTGTCGTGGCCTTAGAATTGAAATGGTGTAAGGGTCATGTTTCTATCTGTTCTCCACTTTTTTCATTATGGATACTATATTAGTTACAGATACGTGCAATGTTTGCAAGACTAGATTCTTCATTTTTGCAGTGCTTCGAACATATAAGTAGGCTGCTTGCTAGTAATTTACTTGGGTTTTCGTTAACTTGTTTTATTGGGATTGCAACTGATTACCTAATAAGGCATATAGTAAACAGCCTGAAGAATCTCATTAATTAGTCGTAGAGTTATGAGCAGTTCAAGTTTTTGAAGATTCAAAATCAAATCACTGTTGCTTATGACGATCCGTTTTCAAGTCTCGATGTTGCAGTTGTTTCATTGTTTCCGTTGAAAATCAGGGTACCATTTGTTATTACGTGGCTGATTTCATAATGTTTTGGGGAAACAGTCTGGTTCTGTGTGTCAATTCAAGGACCAATTTAAAATTGCCATCGTAATTTATCTAGATATGCTTTTTTCGGTACCGTCAGCATATATAAGAGATAACCTAGAAGTACGCAGCGTACTTTGCCAGATAATATTAGTTCGTATAATGTAAAACTGGGGGCGAAGTAAGTAGTCTCAATGTGGTCAGATCAAGATATGGTGTCAGTGCATGAATTCTAATTGTGTTTCAGCCAGTTGAGAAACAGCAAACTTCCTGATTCACTTTTGCACACAGATGGAATCCGTGTTTGGAAATTAAACTATAAGTCCCAGAATTCATACTCTACTTCTTCGAATAGGTTGTTTATTTGCAGTATATATGGACTTGTCTTTTTGTTTTTCAGTTAGAACTTCAGGTTTATAGATTCTTATTCGTTTATTTAACTGTTCATTAATTTACTGTCACTGTGCATGTATTGACTATGATGTAGGTTGGTATGGATATGTGCCACTTACTACTCTACTTATCAAGTTGGATTAGGATCTATCAACAGGATTACTGATGTACACGATCTAATGACTGAAGACTTTATTTTGATCGTATCAGCTGCTTTTACCTTTCTTAATAAGTATGGCTCCACTGATCTTCGTATTATGCTATCACTTTTTGTCTTACCGTGTAACTACGTTCTCTTATGGCACATACGAGATAAACACGCATCTACTGAAAAATCGTATGTATGAAATTGATTTCCTTCTTATACTTCGACGATAGTTAATCAGCAGTTCTGTCAATAAAATTGTCTGTGTAACTTGCATAAAATACATCAGGTTGTTTGTTTAAAAAATAGATTACTTTTGGCGATTATACTGTCTGTAGGATCTCTCTCTCTCTCTCTCTCTCTATATATATATATATATATATATATATATATATATATATATATATATATATATATATATATATAATACTTTGTTTGTGCTGGTTTGCACACTTACACGCCTTAAATTGCTTAAAATGATGGGAGGTACGTGATTTATCACATTTTAAAAATATAAGTGATTATTTTTGCTATTATGCTTGCTTTGTTGGGTGAAAGTTTTTATCCGGTGTCATGCGAATATTTCGAATTATCGATTTAATACCACTGGCTTTGTTTTTTTTCACAATGTGTATTATATTTAGCCTTACCGAATTTTGTAGGCATCCTTAGGGACTTTTGGACTGTTTAAATGATAATGTGCATCATGCAAATCTGTGCACATTTTGGGGGATATTAGTAGTTGATTATCTCATTATAAGTGTGTTATTATTAATTGCAAAATATGTTTTTACAGATTAAGTGACTTCATTCAATCGTCACTGCATTATTAATTTAGCAGTAGTGCTTAAAGTTTATGGAACTGATGCATTGTAGTTTTTTATTTTGATCCTGATGAAACTCCAACTGAAATACATATTGGTTTATTTTTTTGTCTGTTTATTGAATGAAAAGCATGGATGGGTGTTTCAGTGAAAATGGTAAACCATGGTTGTTTATCTTGTTTTACTTAGGTTGAAGTATGCATATCTTCTGTGTTATTTTGTGTGGTGAATCTTCTGGGCAATTTACTTTTGATATTCATATATCATACTACATATGGGAGGAGGAAAGGAAAAAAAGAGAAAATGGATTTCGAATGTGATCGAAAATTTTAATATCATACAGGCAAAGGGACATTTTCATTAAATATCATTACTTAGTGGTCTAAGTTGCCACACCTTTTTTCTCTGTTTATCAGTTTAAGAGACAGGAATGCTTAAGAAAATCGTACAGTCCAACTTCCTATGATATCACAGGTGGGAAATACTAGGCAAATAAGCATTATTTTACTATCGTCGTAATGATAATGTATATTATCAGTCAGTTCTCTGCCATATCATCTCGTTCTTATAAACGTGGCTTGGGATTGTCATTTTGGTTCCAACTATTCAGTCTATACGACACAAATAGACAGCCAAACAAATTCTTGTACTGATATCATTTTTTATTTGACCACTTGTGTACCTGAGAGTTTAGGAAAAGTTTATTTATGCCCATCATGTAAACTATCTGCGTTACAATATGTAGCATTTGTATCTGAACCTAATAAGTCATCTGGATTGATGATTAGTTTTGGTTTACTCGTTATGCGTAACATATTCTTGTTATTTCAGTTTGATGATGCGGACTCTTTGGCTTGGAGTTTGGGTTGTCCTGTTGACAGAACTGTAAAGCTGATTGCAATTGTTGGCAATACAGGTGATGGTAAATCACACACACTAAACCATGCATTTTGTGGCGGTGCAAATGTATTTGTTACTTCAGCTTCTCAAGTCACATGTACAATTGGGATATGGGCAGCTTATCTTCCCAAAGAGGGTTATCTTCTCATAGATACTGAAGGTCAGTAGTTAAAGATTTTGGTATCATTTTACTCCTGAAGCGTTTCTTTGATTTTAAAAAATAAACAAAATATGATTCGGTTGTAACCAAGAAAAATAGTTTCCCTACACAGTAATTTTTTTTTGAAGGTTAATATTATGCTCATTAATTTACACACTGATCACATGGTTTTTGCATAAGACGAAAACAAGCATAAAAGTACATGTAGCCAAGGGTATTTAATCCCACTATATGCGTTAAATGTTACGTTTTGCTTTTTGTACATTCAAACAAACATACTGTCAGGTTTTCCGTCTGTACCATCTGTTTATTTAGTTAGGGAAAATCGAGGCACAAGAAACATATCTCTGATGTATTCAGGACTTCTGTCAATGGTTAAGTCAGTTAGATGTTTAAGAAAATGAAGCGACTTGAGTTGTATTTAAAGGATAAAGGTTAATTTGGGTAATTTATCTATATTTTCAGAAATAAGCATCAATGAAATCCATGAATTTCATGCATTATGAGTGGTTCAACACGTTTTGCGAACATATGGAAAATTCTATTACCTTTACGACAAATGGGAAGGAAGAAGAAGAAGAACTGTGAAAATCAAGTTTCGAGGTTGTATAATTGTAATTGGTTTGACTATGAACAATAGGTTGTGTTCGAAATGTCATCCTGCAAATATTACTTTTTGACTGTCTGATACATCTAGTAAATAAATCAGTATGGAGTTATGTAATATCACAGTGCCCATGTTTTATACATGCTGATGCAATTCAATTTACATAAATTAAATGTCCACTACTATTCCTTTGTCTCACACCTCTGTTTACTGTCTCTATTATGCATTTCTTCTACTTTCTTCTCTTGCTTTGTGTGCTACATGGAGTGTGGCAACTTGAACTGCCGCACATATGTGCAAAGTTCTGTGTCGAAAACAGACAAACAGACAGATCTCCTGCATGGTATAAATCTGACTTTGTTTCCTGACAAATTTCAAAGATAAGCTTTGATGTATTAGTGTGACTGTTGTTTGGTATCACTATCGCAGGAAATTGAATTTGTCGACGAGTTGTCCTGGTATTGGTAGTATGTTTATGTACTTCCATTTCCAAGTATGTGTTATCGAAGAACCTATAGGATGTTGTTATCATGTGCAATGTTATTGATTGGTAAAGTAAGCCAAAGTTGGTTGCAAATACATATCTTCCACTTTTACATAGTATTTGGTTGAAATCAGTAATATCAAATAGCTTTCTGTTGTATAAATCTGTCTTTCTATGAACACTTAACAAAGCTGTAGACAGTCTTGCCTACACGTTAAATGTATATGACAGTAGTTGAAGACTGAAGAATATCCTATATTGGTCGTTTTATCTTGTTTTCATCAGTCCTCGCTGTAACATGTTCTCAGTCCCCCTTAAGAATAAATCTCGTACTGCCAAATATTCCGATATTCACACTGTTGTTAAATTATGAACCTAAGTTTATTATGTGAAGGTGTATATATGAACATTAAGTTGCACTTGCAACAGTGGTTTATATTTATTTTATTTTTGGAAATATTTAAATGTTGATGGTCTAATTAGTGCTCATTTTTGTGCGCATCGTATAGACCTGTTGTTGATCAGTTAAAACTTAAGTTTAGACTCCCAACTTTCAAACAGTGGGTTCAGGTCTCAAACTCCAGCTCTACCTATCGAGGTTTTGGCAGCCAGATAGTGTGTCATAATTGTTCACACAATAGGTGTGTCTCCTTGCAGCATGCACTTAAAAGTGAATGGTTGTTAAGTAACGTTTATTATCATTTTTTTTTACTTCGTATTTAGGTTTGCTTGGTGCCAGCCCTAATCCTAATCGACAACGACGCCTATTGCTGAAAGTGTTTGCATTAGCCGACGTTGTTATATTTCGTACTATGTCTGATCGTCTTCATAGTGACATGTTCACTTTCCTCGCAGATGCTAGCGATGCATTTTCAGAACATTTTCGTCCGGATTTGGAGGCATTGGCTGGACGTACTGGTTTACCATGGACACCTGGTCAACTAGGTCCAGTCGTTGTTGTATTTCAAGAGACTCAGCATACTCTACCACTAGATGAGCCTCGTGCAATGGCTTCAGGGAATAGTACTACATGCAATGATCGTCTGGGATCTGCTGAACCGTCTAACGAAAGGATGTCTGCTTTAAGTGAGTTTAATTGTCTCATTTTGTTATACACATCTGTTTTCACATTCACCTTCTCAATGCTTTTATTTTATGATAGAGTAGCTGAAAATATAACCATTGGTGTATTAAGTGTCCTGTTTTTAATTAAACAACACTCATTCCATGGATATTTAGCGAATTTTCTTAGTTATCTAACCTACCACTTTTGCACTACTGTCCGTCATTTTGCGTTCGGTAACTTACATGTCCCCTGTGTTATTTGTGAGTAAATTCCACTATATTCTCAGGTGAAATCCAAAACATTCTGTCTCCTTAATACGGTGATTTTACTTAACATAACACACAGATACAATATTATTTATTTACTGACGATGTTTCGAGCATAGTTTGTTGCTTAGAGATATATCTTTGTCATTTTGCATTATCAAGTATTGGTTTTGTAGAGATTTTGTTTGCTTGCATGGGGGATTTCACCATGAGCTGACATCAGTTAGAGAACCACTGGAAAACCTGGGAGTGCTGGACAGCTGTTTCGTCCTAGTTTAAGACTCTTCATCGGTACGCACCCACCGGGGTTCGAACCCAGGGCCTTCTGGTTACAAGGCGAGCTCGTAGACCATTGAGCCACTGGGACCCGATCCAATGGTCCTTGATTCCTAACTTCTGCCAATTCACGACATAGCGCGACCACTTCGCAATGTCTTCTTCGATGAGTTACTGCCTCATCTTTAACCTGTATTTGTATTATATAAAGTACTTTTGAGATGCATTGTTTCTATACTGTGTAGCTGTTGTTTTAGTTTCGGTTTGTAGAGGTTGACGTGCGATTCCCGAACATCGTCTTCATGTATATCTTTCTAAAGATAAAGCTTTGTTAAACATAAGTGCTACATGGTCAATAAGGTCTGAGTTAGAACTTTTAAAATAATTGGACTTTTAGTGGCACACATTCGTGTGTCCAACACTTACTAATTAGATAAGGTAAAAAAATATATCCGTGAATACACAAGGATGTGTATTCTATTCATAAAAGGGTTCAAAATTCTTAGGATCATGTGACTTTACTATAGCTGAGTGTTTTGTAGCTCCATATTGATTTGACCTTTTAGTAAAACATTACTTTCTGAGTGTTCTGTGGTGAGTGTACATGTAGTGTAATGTCCTCAGTTTTTCGTGGTCTTAGATTGCAAATTAAAGCTTTTCATCATCTGTACTTTATGTTATACTTACACTATTAAATCGACTTAGTCAAATAATATTCATTTAAAAAAATATCTTATTTGTAGTATATTCAAGTTCACTGTCTATAGTTCACTCTTTTATAATACGATGGTTTGCTTAAAAATCTCTGGGCTACTTAAGTTGAATGAATCTACTTTATTCTGTTTCATATTGTTTCAGTCATCCAACTATGTCCTTGATTTGCAGTATATACTCACTCCCTCTCCTTACTGATATAAACTTTTCGAAGGAAATAAAAAAATATGACGGACTGGGGGGGGGGAGGCATGTTCCATATAGACAAAGTTAAACTGTGAGTGTAAGGTCCCAATAAAACAAACACGCCGGTGACCGTGAACCAGCAAATTAGAGTAAACCAGATAAATTAGGGTTAGTGTATTATTAGATTAGGGTTACAATGTATTTATTTTTAATGCTCAACTCGATTTCTCTCACCGAAGTTTTTTTTTAACGCGATTAATCAACTGAAACTTATTGATGCACTCGTTCGGTTGAAGTCTTGTAGTTTAACTTCGCCTCAACATTTTTTTATCATTCTACTACTATAAGGACAACACAGACATAATCGTTTATATTTTCATGTCATATGATGTCCTCTTATTCCCTTTCACCTAGTTCACTTTACTCCAGTACCTTTATTATGTGTCAACCTTTTGTAATTTACACTAAGCTTGTTATGCCTCTAGTATTTTATTACAGTTCACAATTTAACCTCTTTATTTTATCACTACATTTGATATCTGCCCTCCGATATAATTTTCACATGCCTTTAACGACTATTTGTATTGATGATATATTAGATAGTTGGAGGCAATCGTCAGGAAGCCTTGGACCTAGGTTTCGTGCTAGTTGGCACTCACCAGCTATTTGTAATATAACATTCATGGATTTATAACTGTAGAGCTTGAATAAGAATTTATCGGAAACGATTGTTCTCTCAAAATCGTCTTGTTCGTATTATCATTCATTCTGTTGAAAGATTTTACTTAATCAGGTTCTAAGCTATCTGGATGTTATGCGTTTTTTCCTTCACTTTCCCCAGTGGAACATAGGGCTTCAAGCTAGTGGCGGTATGCCATCGACGCACATGTTATGCGTTTACGATTTTCAAATTATTATATGCATTCCTAACTAATTTTCTAGAACTTTCATTGTCACAATTATTCTTATTGATAATTTTTTATTTTTGTTTCCCCTTCTCCCCCCTTTATGAAAATTGATAATAGGCTCCAGATTTTTGACAGAACGTCTTGTGGCGATGAGACGTAATGCTAATGCATTCTCTTCACTTGTTTATGTTGGGACACAAACTAAAGTTCCGCCAACAAATTTCCAAGTAAGATTTTTGGGAGAAATTTTAAATTAACATTTAAGTATTTAAAAACAAATAATTCATAATCCTGTCATTTTATTCTATACAGTTTATACTTTGTGGAGTGGAGTTTTTCAAGAAGCAGTTTTCATTTTGAAGTGACTTATGAAATTCTACTAACTACTGAATAAGCGTATTTACTGAATCTTTCTGTTCAGTACTATTCTTTCTGAGCAATACTGCATGATTTGCATACGTGGTAAACAATTATTGGTAATTTTAATTCGTTATATTAAGGGTTGATAAAGTCTGACTGCCTATGAGTGGGAGTATTCCGCAAATAACTATTGTAAAGAAGAAAAGATCGATGAGGCTTGAAGGCAATGTTTATTAGGACAAACACATTGTCTTTAGGACTTTATTTGCACGTCATTTGCAAATTCGTCGAATATCATCACATTCTATAGCTTGTTGGATTCTGCACAATGTTGTAACATTCTTCTCATAGTTCTGTTCTTCGATTGCTTTTTCCAGCGCCCCAGAACATATTTTTACTCTTCCAAATTCGTTTACTGGTACACTACTTATATCTGATTATAAGTAACACTCGCCACACTATAACGTATTTAGATATATTACAGAATGCATTGGTTATATTTCAATAAACTTCAATATAATGAATATCTAGCATAGTTGGATTTTCTGAAATGATTTCATGTGATCTCTGATTTATATCTAAAATTCGACTAGCTTAGCAGCATGTTAGGTACCTTCAGTTGTAGTCATCAGTTTATTTTGATGATATTTTCATATTCAGTTGGGACTTTGTGTGTATTTGGAAGTGAGTGGAGTGAGTCCCTTTGAGGTAGCAAAGTCACCTGCCTGGCGACAGTCACCTTCCTCCCGATTAACGTCGATACCAAATTCCAGTGTACAGAAGTGGTGCACCACCATTTAGCTTGGTGACTAATTTACACATCTGATCAATAGATTTCTACTAGCGTGTAGACCTAAACGGCTATTCGTCTTGAAAAACGTTGTGTACATTGCCAAGATGAGATTATTGATACGCATTCTTGTATTCTGTGTTTTTTAACATGTCGGCAATTTGTAATGCGAAATCGAATTAACACAAAAATAGCAAACTGTTTGTGAAATAATAATAATAATAGTAGTAGTGACAATGTGGGTAGGTGATTCTTGTATGTATATATGTATATGATAAATGTAAGTGCGATTAACCATTGGCAACTTTCCAAAAATCAGTTTAATTTATGTCGCGTCAATCTGTCAATCAAATTTGTAGGTAAACTATTGATGTTAATATTATTTATCCTCCTTAAATTGTTTTAATATATATATATATTGTTCGCCAGCCCTTGAGTATATTTTTCAATTCTGCTTCCTATAGAGCTGTGTGTGTTGACTTAAGTGAATGAGACGAGGATTGATCAAAATTCAGCCAGCTAAAAAATATTAGTTTTTCATTTTAGATGCTGTTTAATAACAAAATCAATCGCTAGAAGTTTTTTTCTTGTATTCATCAGCATTGTTACATACATATCTATATATATGCATCTACGCAAGTTGTATGTCTCATTGTCTGTTTGTATTATTGTAATCAATAGAGCATTAATACTGCAATATTATAAATTAACAGACCTTTATACTTTATTACTATATTTTTCATTTTTTCTTAATCACTTGTAGAATCTCAGTTTTCTGAGAAGTAGTGACACTTTGATAAAATAACATTTTTATTTCATTTCTTCATTATATAGCCCCTAGCATCTATGGTTGCCAAAAGGATACGTGATATATCTGTTAGAGCACCACGGAAATTAATTCATATCTTTCATATTCTTCAAGCGCTTAACACGCGTTTCTCATCTGATCTTCCGTGTTCATCGCCAACATTTGTTGAAGAATATTTTACCTGTCCGTGCAAATGTACCAGTTGTGGTGTAAGGTGTTGTTTAAGTGTAAATCACACATCGAATAATGTGGCTCATAAAGCGGAATGCTTAGATTCTAGTGGGATCAATATAACACCTTGTCGATATGATCCAACACTACAAAACAAATTATATTTCTGCAAAGTGAGCAAACTATCTATTAACAGATAATTATGTTTGATCGAGTTCGCATGAATTCTTTTTCTGATTAATTGTGAATGTCGTGTTGGTGTTCATCATTCTACCGGGTTTATGCATACAGTTTTACGTGGTGGTATTCGGTAATCGACTGAATGTCGTCACCAAAATATGTAGCACAACTAAGTTTTGTTATTTTAGTAATGATATGGGTCAGTGAGATAGTAACCTTAATTGTTTCAGGCTTAGAAAATTATAATTTGAACGGAAGTGTAGTTTAAGATCCTGACTAAGTTTGTAGAAGATTACGAAGTACTTCTCCTAGGTTCCTAGGGGAATATGAGGCTCCAATAGTATATCTCCGTTTCATCCTGTTCTCTGCTATCCTCTTCAACTGGCTGAACAGTTGCCCATAAACTCTCATCTCCTCGTCACACGATCTCCTCCATGTTACCCTCGGACCCCCGACTTGTTCTTTCCCATTTGGGTTCCTTTGAGGGTCTAGCGTATGATGTCATTCAATGGTCTCCTCGGCGCATGTTTAACCATCTCCATCTGTTTTTCTGCATATTTGTAGGACGATAGGTTATTTGTTGGTCCGTTGGCAGATTTTTTTGCCGTCTATCCCTTCTGGCTATCTGATCTTCAGTATGGAACGAAGTCAGGTGTCGCTGAAAATCTACAATAGGCTGTCGGAAGTGCTTCTGGTGACGCACACAGTCTCTAAACCATAAAGAAGAACTGACTTAACATTAGTGTTGAAAATCGGAACCTTGTTCCTTATGCTGAGTACAGATTAATGTAGATCTGTCTTGCGAAGTAACTTACAGCATACGAAATAAGTATATCTATATAGTGAATGTAATTTTGATCATGGGAGGCTCTAAATAATAAACATTTCTATTAGGACATAAAAATGAAGTTACTTTTATTCACTCGTTCATATTTAACTTGTAGATATCAGTGAGGTAATAAAAGTTGCTTAAATCATCATTTTGTTACTGCAAAAGAAAAGTAAAAATTGCAACTTCTTTTACAGACACGGAAGATTTTAATATGATGCGGTGTAAGCTTTTTAGAATTGTGTGTGTTGTAAAACACTCGTGTGCTGATAGACATCTACGCCCTGATTTTATCAATCCTCATATTTATGAATAATCTCCGCGCCTACTTTTTTCCCAGTTCTTTGGTCAGGATTATTTTATTGGGGAAAAATATTTTCTTTCTTGGTGTTACAGAAGTAGTGTTGAAGGACTCAGATGTTAGGGTTATTATTATTCTTCGTCCCCTGTTTTATTTTTAACCTCCCGTCTTAGATTGTTTTTTTGCTGCTATGTATAGTGTTGGCTCTTTAGGCCAACTTTCTTCTTTTGAAGCTTTGAATTACTCTGTAAATTTAAAAGCAAATCTAACTTGATGCAAGATGTTAACATTTCCATAAAGTGTATGTTGTCTTCAGATTAGGTAGATATATGACCAGTTGTAACTTGAAGTCAGTTGGTGGATGGTGACTAGCAGTGGGATCCAGGATGCGCATTTCGTCCTGTTTGGGACTCGTCATCTGAATGTGCCTGCATTCCCCAGCGAGTGATGGTGTTCACACTGAGGCTCAAACCCGGTGCCCATCATTTCAAACGCCAAAGCATTATCCACGAAAGCCACCACCTCTTGTGCAGCGGGTCTTATTAATTATTATTAATTATTGTATCCTTTAGTTCCTAGAGGAACATAGGGCTTCAGCTGCGCACCTCCATTGACTTCGGTTTTCTGACAACTTTTTCACCCTGCTCCAGGTCTGTCCACATGCTTTCATCTCCTCCTCGCATGACCTCCTCCAAGTCACCCTTGGACGACCAACTCGCCGCCTCCCTTTCGGGTTCCACTCGAGGGCTTGTCTAGTGATGTCACTTGATGGTTTCCTCAGCGTATGGCCAATCCATCTCCATTTCTTTCTGCCTATTTGTTTCACAATCGGTTCCTGATTGGTTCGCTCCCAGAGATCCCTGTTGCTGATCTTTTCTGGCCATCTGATCTTGAGTATTGAGCGGAGACAGTTGTTAATGAAGGTTTGAAGTTTGTTTGAGATGCTCTTTATGACTCGCCAAGTCTCTGATCCGTATAGTAGCACTGACTGACTTCACATTGGAGTTGAAAATCCGGATCTTATTTTTGATGCTGATTGCTGTTGACCTCCACACAGATTTGAGAGTAATGAAAGCTTGTCTTGCTTTTCCGATTCTGGCTTTGATGTCCTCGTCAGTTCCGCCTGTAGTTGAGACGATGCTTCCCAGGTAGGTGAAGGAGGTTGTTTCTTTCAGGTTCTTCCCATTTATGCTTATTGTGGTCTGTTGGTGTTGTTGATGTTGGCTAGGAATCTTCATTATCTCTGTTTTATCTATGTTCACGTGAAGTCCTATCTTTGATGCTTCTTCTGCCAACTTGTTACTTTTCACTTGCATATCTTCCAGTTTATGGGAAATCAGACATATATCATCGGCGAAATCCAGATCCTCCAAGTCTTTTGTGTCAGTCCATTTTATGCCTGTTCCCTCGTTGGTTGCCGTTGTCTGTCGCATTATCCAATCAATTGCAATCAGGAAGATCATTGGTGATAGTAGACAGCCTTGCCTCACTCCCGTCCTCACTTCGAAGGCTTCCGTAAGTTTCCCGTTGTGGATTACTTGGCATGCAGCATTGTCGTATAACTGTTGGATGAGGTGTATAATTGTCGATGGGACCCCGTAGTAGCGAAGTAGTTTCCAAATGACCTCTCGATCGACGCTGTCGAAGGCCTTTTCAAAGTCGATGAAGTTGAGATAGAGAGGTGACTGCCATTCCAAGCTTTGTTCAATGATGATCCGTAGAGTGGCGATTTGATCAATACATGATTTGTTTCTCCTGAATCCAGCCTGTTCCGGACGAAGTTTTTCATCTAGGGCTTGTTTGATTCTCTCCAGGATGATGCGACTTAGTATCTTGCTTGGAATGGACAGAAGCATAATTCCACGCCAGTTTTTACATTGACTTAAGTCTCCTTTCTTTGGAAGTTTGAATAAGTAACTGTTCTTCCAATCCTCGGGTACTTTGCCCTCTTTCCACACCTTCTCCAGCAGTGGTGTCATCAAGTCCGCTGTTGTCTCTGGGTCTATTTTCAAAGCCTCTGCTGGGATTCCATCTGGTCCCGGTGTTTTCCCAGCTTTAAGCATCTTGATTGCATTCAGGACTTCTGATTTCGTCGGGGGGTCAGTGTTCACTGGTAGTTCTGCTTCCGTTGTTGGTATTGCTGGACGTGTTGTAGTTGATTCAATTTAGATTTTTCCATTGATTGCTTGGACTGAAGTGCTCGGTCTCTTGGATTTCACCACTAGTCACCACTTACCGATTTACTTCAAGTTAAATGACCAAGCATCGTCGAAGCATCTGCACTAGGAGCCGACATGTCAACCTGAGACCAAGCACTTCGGTCCAATCTAGGTTGAATTAATTATGACCAGTTGTGTTTGTAGCTTAGCGCCTTGAAGAATACATAGTTTATCTTCTCTATAATATTAATCCCTATGACTTTAAATTAAACTTTAACGATGGATGATTATCATCGTGTTGATGAGCTTTCTGTGAGTTAGATTGTTTTTCACTACTCTGAAAAATGCTTTTGTTCCTTGTTCGTATTCTTACTCATCAATAAACATCTACAAGTGTCTGACTGACTGACTGGATTCAACAAAGAACTTTGCACAGATGTTCAGTACTTCAAGTGACCACACTCCATGTATCACACAAGGCAAGAAAAGACAGTAGAGAGAGATTCAAAACAGATAATAAACAGAAATATGAGGTGAAAAGAATAGTATTATGAAAGAACAATAGGGTTTTATTGGAAATGGCAAATCACAAGGAGTGGATTCATCTGGGCCATTGAAAACGATTTTCAGATTTTGGTTTTTACCATCCCGATGACCCCTTTAGTCGACAGCCGGATATCACGTCTACGTCAGAGATGGCGTAAGTTAGCATATACTAAACGAGCCTTGTGTATCCTTGCTGAGATTTCGTCAGGGATCAAACCGTTGGGGCTGATATTATATTATATAATTATTCCCTTGGGTCCCAAGTAGCACATAGAACTTCAACAACACATCCCCGCTTTCTTCTATTTTCTACTGTCCTCTTCAGCTGAGTCGACGACTGCCCATAATCTGTCATCTCTTCGCATGATCTCTTTCTTGTCACTTTAAGACTGATGCAATTCCCCAAATGATTCAAGTAGTCAACACGCTTTACCATTCCACTCCCTAATTCTAAGCTAGGAATCGATGTATTCCAGTCCTGTAGCATTATCTAACATTTGACAGGAGCGAATCGCATTCCAAACATTCGAAGATTGCTGTTCAGTTCTAGGTGTTCAGAAGACTCTGCCCCACTTTGTTAGCGCTTGCACCTAGTAGGGAGGACTATATCATTTGCATATTTTAAAGTCAACAAGGTTATTGCCTGATGGTAACAAGTCAATCCCTGAGTTGCTGAAGTTAAGATTAAGTCCATTAGTACATCTATAATGAAATTAAACAGAAATGTGGACTGTAGGCATCCCTGATGGACACCACTGGTTGTAACCACTTTAGACGGTAACTCTCACCTGGCGTAGAGAGTAGAGTGCCTTGATCAATACGTGTCTATTAGTGTTATTCTTACTCAGTACCAAATTATGTAAGTTATTATGTTTTGTTCAAATGGTATGCGTACTTTCGAAATTAACGAATCCCAACCGAAGGCTGCTACGCCAACTTACTGGTCTGGCTTGCTTATCCCAATACCTCAATGAGGTACCTTGGCTGGAATGGATATTCCTGCAAGTCCCACCATGCTGGTTAGGTCGGTTTGATAGAGGTTAGACTCAAAGTAGTTACCATCATTGTGTAAGTTGTTTAAATGTGCTATGTTATATATTACTGATTGATTGATATGAGCATCTGAATACCACTCAGTTTTTATTTTATCTACCTTTCTTTTGTTAAGCTGTGTTATGCTTATGGTCAGAGGACCATGATGGTTCCCAAAAGTGGTGAGTCAAATGCTAATGCACTTTCAGCTGTTGTAAAATACCTGTGGGCTGGTTATGTTTTGGAATGTCCTAGACATGGTACTATCTACCGTAGTCGAGGTTATTGGTCTGGTAATGTAGAGCCTGAAATGAATCCTCAAGTGCACTGGGAAATTGTGCATGTTTGGCAAGGGGAGAAGTCAATACTTTCGGTAAATACAAATATCTCCATTTTCTTTTCATAACCTGTTGTAAATTTTTATTTGTCATAAATGTGAAGGGCGTAGATAACTAATCACGACCTGTGATCAATTTTGATTTTCTCCATAGTGTGGAATTATACTCTACCAAGTTGTGTTCTTATATCAAACTATGGAGTAGTAAGCATATGTGAATGTTGAATTGTCACCCTCAGTGGTTTCTTACCTTCATGAACTCCACGTTTAGAAGTGAAATATATTCAAAATCTTGACTACTGTATGAGTAGGGATTTGATTTCGAATTTTCTAAGTATGGTCGGACGAACTATATAATAAGTTAGTTCACCTTTCATAATATATATAAAAGGTTGATTTTAATTATTTCATATTATTTTCAAGCATTGGTTTTGTAGGGATTTTGTTTGATTGGATGGAGGATTTCATCATGAGGTGACATTAGTTAGAGAACGAATGAAAACCAGAGAGTACTGGACAGCTGTTTCGTCCTAGTTTGGGACTCTTCATCAGTACGCACCCACCGCCAGGGTTCGAACCCAGGACCTTCAGGTTTCAAGGTGAGCTCGTAGACCATTGAGCCAACATAGTATGTGTAAAAGGTACTTATTGTCGATGGCAACTTTTAAACTTTATCATCCATGTCTTAATTTGGTGGTTGGTGTCTAGCAGTGGGATCTAGAATGCACATTTTGTCCCGCTTGGGGCTCGTCAGCTTGATGTACCTACATTCCCCGGTGAGCAATGTTGTTCCCATTGAGGCTAGAACCCAGTAGCCTTAATTTCAAACTCCAAAACGTTATCCACCAGAGCACGAGGGCCGACACCTCTTGTAGAACGGGTGTCAGTTATTATTAATTTCTTGAATTCAATTTTGATCAATCATCCACGTTTTTTCTGGCAGTACCAATAGTTTCCTTTTTTTATGAAGGAAAAAATGCAGTTTTTTGGAAATAACCACAAAAATAATTTTATCATAATAGCGTTATTTTGGTTGTACGCATTTCTACGTTTATTGTGTATATATATGCATAAGCATGTTTTCTTGTTTTACTGTTGTCATGTGAGTTCCTATTTTCCTCTTTATTTTTGGAAATATTCCAGGGTACTCATCCAGTTAGTCAGTTATTGTTAGATGGACTGACTGTTGTCTCTAGTCAGGTGAGCCAGTTAGCTGGTCCTCCAGCACGTCGACTTGGTGATCTTATTGCTGACAGTGTAGCTCCTCGATATTGGCAACCTAATGCCAGTATTAAAGCTTGTGCAGTATGTAAAGTTGAATTTCCAAGTTCATCAGATGACTCTGTTTGTACGAGTAATTCACTTACAAGAGACAGATCATCTAGTGAGAAAAATCAAACTTTAACATCTCAGGATGATGGTTATCAGAAAGACAAAACATCTAGTCATCAAACTAATTCACTTCAACGGTCTTCATCATGTGCTGAATCACTGAACAGAGAATCCAGTTCTCCAAAAACACTGAGATCTTTTGTTGATGATTTTTCTAAACATCATTGTCGTGCATGTGGAAGAGGTGTTTGTGCTAGATGTTCCACTGGCCGTTTGCCTGTTCCTGATCAAGGATATGGTAACGAAGGTGTACGTGTTTGTGATCAGTAAGTTGATGTGTTTTATTTACCTTATTTTTAAATGTATAATTTTCTGAAGATGGTATTTAATGCATTTTATGAGTGATACTGTTGTTAACAATGCATAAGATGCACTATCAAGCCTTATAACGCAATCCTAGTGTCAGCATCACTTATTTTGGTGGATGGCTGATATGACTGATGTTAACGGAAAATAAGTCTTGGTTTTTAATAGTGTCACTAAAATGGCTAGTTAATGTTTTTTGTAGGATTGATAGCTGCCACCTTGACGTGGTGGTTGGGCACATCGCAATGACCCAACAAGCCACACTAGCTGGAACTATTGTTCCTGCAGGTCCTACCATGCCAGGAAGGTTGTTAGGATAGCGATTAGACTAAAAGCAGTTACCGGCTTAGTGTAAGAATTTGTTTATACTATGATGGGAGTCTGTGGGCGAAGTCGTACTACTGGGGAACAGGGATGTAACAGCGGTAAGGTGTTTCCTTCAGATGACCAGCATGTCAGCTATGTTGTCTTTCCACTCTGAAGAGTGGGGTTAGAAAAGGTCGACCCCCAAAATTGTACATCCCGGCTAACCCTATGGTGGCCCGTAAGCTGCGGTAAGTTTACCAATACGGAATCAAACCAAGAAACCAGTTCATACAGCCCGCGTGTGACCGACCTCAAGCAGTTGTCCCTTGGGCTCTGTGGTCACGTAACACTAACCCTCTTTCTGTTTCAGGTACCTGAAGAACCAACCAACTTCCACGGTGTGGGCAGCCGGGAAGTGACAATTGCCCACACACTTCCAAGAGCACGTGAAACCTCCCCTAACATCATTCTTCTTTACCCACATCACCATCATCTTACTCTCCTACTACAGTTATTATTAATATTATGGTTGTCTCTTATGTGTTTTACTAAAACACAAAAGTTCAGATGTGAAACAACTATAAACATGTGTGGTGCTGTAGGTGGTAGACATATGTAGATTTAAACATTTCTTAACTACTTCTGTTTAACTGTAATAAAGGCAATGGGATAGCCTAATGTCAAACTAACTAGCTTTATTAATTTTTCCTTCAAACACAAACATGGTGCAGGGTGGACACCACGAAATATACCATAAAAAAGAGGAATAAAGTAATTGAGAATAGAAAAAACGTTCAGCGAAGAGTTACTCTTTTCAGTGATAACAACAGTGAGAATAAGAGGGTGAAGAAATGATACAAATAAAAAGCAAAACAAAGTGGCGTGTCCAGTATTTATATAGATCAGGTCCATCGTAAGTTTAGTGACTGAACAAACTACTTGTGTATGCAAGTTGGTGGCACAGTGGTTACGACTCTCGCCGACCATGCACATGGTCCAGGGTTCGATTCCCAGCAGACGCACACCTGATATCAATGGTCGGCCTGCAAAATTTGGGCCACTGATATCACATGCTAAAAATTCCATACTTGTACCGAAAGCATTATGTGGAATCCAGCTATAATAAAAAAATCATATCGTTATGTGCGTCGGTGGCACAGGGGTTAGGACTTTCGCCGACCATGCATATGGTCCGGGGTTCGACTTCCCGGCCGACGCACTCCTTTACCTCGCTAAACCAGTAATCAGACTGGTGAAGAGGGAAGGTTAGGCATGAGGCTAGAAACCCCATCCTGTAAAAATAAACACTGCTACAGAAACTTCAAGCCAGTAGCTTGAAGCCCTATGTTCCACTGGGGAAAGTGAAGGAAAAAAATTACTAGAATCAGTGGGAAACGCTCGTTGTCAGCTTAAAATTTGGGGTTTAATCTTAAATAGTATGTATTATTTTAAGAGAATACGACGTTTTAATACTTACAAGTGTTTTTTTTCTATAGTTTGGTTTGTAAGGGTTACTTTTGTTTTTACGAGTTGATCACGGATTGATATCAGTAAGAGAACTATTGAAAACCAGGGAGTACTGGACAGCTGCTGTTTCATCCTAGTTTGGGAAACATCGGCAGTATGCACCCAGTGGTGTTCGAACCCAGGGATTGCGCTAAATCACGAATTGGTAGAAGTTAGAATTCGTGCACTGGCCATTGAATCAGGTGCCAGTGGCTGAATGGTACACGAGCTTGTCTTGTAGCCGAAAGGTCCTGGGTTCGAACCTTGGCGGTGGATGCGTACTGCCAATGATTCCCAAACTAGGATGAAATAGCAACTGTCCAGTACTCCCTGGCCTTCAATGGTTCTCTAAATGATATCGATCTGTGATCAACCCGTAAAAACTTGCCAGTGTAAAAATTGTATTATTTTTAGGACACCCTCTTTTGACAATTTATTGTGGGTGGTTATAACGATTTTCTTAAGAATTAATTGTTGAATGTTTTTTAAACTAGTAGGAACGAAATCTATGACTAGTTTTGCGATAAAAACACCTCGGTATAATTTTCCTATTGTAAAGGAATTAATTACATTTTAAGTGGGAGTTGATTTGTTAGCTCTAATTCGAGTAGTTGAGAAATTCATATATGAGATTCTAGCCAAATGACAAGTCATGCTGCTGTCATAGATATTTTCTATCACTTGTCAAATTCATTTGCTGTTCATTCATTTTAAATTATACCATTGAGTCATGATTTTGTCTCTAGCCTTCAGTTAGTTTGATTAGGTGAACCAAATACAGCAAAAATACGTATTCGGTTCACTCCTAAGTTATAAAATGATTCCTCATACGCGTGCAGTTATTCTTTTGGTTGCCTCCAAAGGAATTAATTTATACACCTCCGTCCTTTGTTCGCTTTCAAAGGCTAAGCTGGAATTGGAGAATTTGTAGTGTTTCGCGTGATTAGTCCTTGATATTGTAGGTAAGAGTTAGATCAATAGCGCGTTGATCTACACGTTCAAGAGTACTTGCTGGCTACTTTGAGGTGATCTAAACACTAAATAGCCTTTTCGCTTGTTTAACGGATCGACATGACTCAAAGAGTCAGTTGAGTCACTTTGAAACCACTTGAATTTCGGCGAACTGGTGATAAAATTTGTCCTATGCAAATCGAATAGGTGGATATGAAAATTTACCTTGATTTCCTTTAGGAATACAAATGACTCTTACTCGATGTTAACTAATTTTTCTGCTCAACCGTTCAGCTGATATTAATAATCTGATATATTTTTTTAAAAATTAAGGTGCTATGAAGCTCGACTGCGTAATAAATCTGCTGATTCAAACAACCGTTTGTCTGGCATGAATTATAATTCTCAAATAAACAGTACCTCTTTGACTGGCCGTAAAGTCATTGAGATGTTGTCTGCTACTGCTGATTATATAGCGCCAATATACACCGGACCGAAAGGTATTTTTTGATAATCATTATTATTTATTATTATTGTGTTTATTTTTTTACTTCGCAAAAGTGTAATTGTTGATTATGAAATTTTTGTCATGCTTCTTTTTCTGACTTTCAAATAATCAATTAAAATTTCCTTTTTTATGATATATGTTCACATTTCTGAGTGGCGTGTGTGTGTGTGTGCGTGCATGTGTGATATGCGCATTTGTTAGATTTACTTGATATTGAATAACTAATATTTCCATTTTTTAACACATGCCCGTGACAGCTGACTGAACTGTTGGTCTGACTTTCTTGTAATCACCTTTCCTATCTTGTTTTCCCGTTTGTTTTCCTCGGAAGTACATTTTTATAATCTGTCTACCGTATATTAATATGTTTCCTGTTTATGTGAAACAGACTGTGACACACTGAAGTCAGTGTAAAAGCGTATTTAAAAATTGTATACATAAAATCCCAGCGAAATTGAAATGAGTAATTCCAGCGTTTCGTTCAGCAAACTGGTTCGAACCTCTTCAGGGAAATTAATCGAAATTAACATAACAGAGGTTTATCTATGAGAACTTTGTCCAATCCTATGAGTCAGAAACCATTAAGTTTTCAAAAGAGGTTGAATCCGACGCAGATGATTTGGCTTCCCTGAACTGTTTAGTAAAATGACAACCAGGTGGCAAGCTTAAAATAAACATTTTCAGACAAATTCGGACAGATACCTAGACTGCTATTCAGCGCATCTGTTTACCACCAAAGTAACTATGGCCAGGAATCTGTTTAACAGAGTTAGACGTCTAGTTGCTGACGAGGAAGAGATCAGCAGGGAACTAAAATTGGTTCACCCCTTCTCTTGAATCGAATAGCTACCCCCAAATTTTTTATAAAAGGATATTTAAAATATGACGATAAGGATGAGTCAAAGCCTGTTGCTGGGATTTGAACCAGTACAGTGGCGATTCCTCACCTCAAAGAGATATCGGATGAGATAGAGCGAATCTTAACAACCATGACATAAGAGTGTATTTTTGTCGTGCAACGAACATCTTAGCTCATCACTGGTCAAGTTAAGGATAAAATAGAAGAGGACAACCAACAGAATTGTGGAAATTGTGACGCCATACATGTAGGAGAAACTTTCAAATAGGTGAATATAAGAGCAGAAGAGCATAAACAATGTCTAAAGGTGGTTACAAAGACCTCTGCAAACTTGAAGAAGTTAGAAAACAGATCAGCGACTGCACTGCACGGGACTCAAGATCGGCTTTGATAGGACTAAGGTTCTGGAGAAAGGTTTTGGTTCCTATTGAGAAAAACTGACTGCAGAAGCTTTGCGTTTATGGGTGAATCCCAACAGTTTGAGCAGACGTGAAGGTGTGATATTAGCTGATGCATCGCAGGTCCCGATTAAGAAATAAGAATGGGTGTGTATCACGAATCAATCAGACTTGATCTAAGTTCCCTATTGTCCTTATCTTCTTGTGGAGAAACTAACAAATCACTCATATAAAAAGAAAGAATTCAGCGAAGAAAATTCTCTTTTTGACGATTTAATTTTCATAGTTGTACAAACGTATATATATATATATATTTGTGTGTGTGTGTGTGTGTGTGTGTGTGTGTTAAAGTTTGACAGTTTGTGGAAATACTAAAGTAGGATAATATTGGTGTACAGAATTATGAGTCAGAATTGATTGGATATATGAATGAATATTTAAATAAATAGAGGTCAACCTAAAGCTCAGTAGGCATGTGTGAAGTAGATGATCGGAAAATAAAGTACATTCGGAAGTGTGAATATAATATGATTGTAAAGTAGGATGAGTGAAATGTTGTCAAAGTAGTAGACTAGAAAAAATGTTATAATATGATAACATAAAGTCTCTTCTTTCTTTACTTCGGCTATCTCCTACGGGAGGATGAGCCGGCTTCATGAACCATGAAGTTTCATGGGAATTGGGTACGAGTGATGTCCCCAGAATCGCTCGGCCTTTTGTTTGAGAGTGCAGCTCTAGCCTTTACACAGCCAAGTGTGACCTACAAGGCAGTAGGAGTGGAGTAAGGAGTCCACTATCCATTGCCAGCCAGTGACCGGAGTCCGGTTCATTCGCCTTTTTGAATGGGGCCAGTCATCCAGGGCATCCAATAAACCCTTTGTCCATACGTCTGCCGGTAAGCTCCGGTGAGCTTCATACGCCAGTCGTTGGAGGTTTGGAATCAGGATTTAGCCATCTCCCCTAGACTGTCATCCAATGGACAGTCAACCCGGTGAAGAGCGCCGGGCATCCGCTTTTGCCCTCTCACTTTGCTGAAAAACACCTCCGCCACGTGAAGGCAGTGAGTAGGACTTCCTCAGGAGAGGCTATGTAAGACGCCCGGTCATATGGGAGCATTTCAAGAGGTGTACGGAGGGGTGGCCAACCCGCAGCGCAAGGCACCCACCCCCGACCATCCTGAGGCTTTGGAGGCATAACATAAAGTGAATTGAAATAAAATAAAAGTGGAACATGGAGTAAATAAGGATAACAAAGTTGTTATGTGAATTGTATAGTAAAATGAAGACCATGTTAACGGAAGAGATAGTACAAATTGTTTTCGTACACAAAGTTCTGGCTTTATTTTATGTATTGCCAAAGCCTCTGTTATACCAAGCAAATACACTCGTGTCGATTTTGGCAAACTTTGTCGGACTTTGTACACTATATTAACTGATGCGTTAGATGCTGCGTCGTTGTCAGTATCTGCAATATGTTGCAAATTCCATGAACTTATACCTCTAAGTTCTCCTTTGCTTAGCCAAACTGGGAGGTGCTCTCGAACGCGGTGGCGGGATGATGTTTCTCGACGAACGTTCTATGTACCTGGCTCCGCATATATATAAATACACATAAATACACGATTGTAAAGCTATGAAATCGTTGAAAAGAGAATTTTCTTCGCTGATTTCTTTGTTTTTATGTTTCAATGGGGATTATTAATTTAGATGATTTCCAATTTTTGTCGCACACATACACACCATTGTATACCGCATGTATACATACTTTTGCATATTCAGTTATGTACGACCGCAACCATGAAATTTAGTCTAACTTAATCACTAAAATTCTGATGAAAAGTGACACGCTGTTTACAGTGTTTAACAAAAGTAGGCTAATGTTTGTCAGAAGTCTGAGGTCAAATTTTGATCCCAGTTCATACAATTTTGTTAATGATATTTTGATTTCTGTTTCATGACTCATATGATTGGACAAAGTTTTTCAAAACAGGAGATATCCTTCTCATATTTAAACCTCTGTTATATTAATTTCGACTAATTCCCTTGTAGAAGTTCGGAGCAATTTGTCTAACGAAACGTTGGAATTACCCATTTCAATTTCGTGGAGATTTTACAAATATAATTTTTACATATATCTACTTCTTACTCAGTGCAGGATTATTTTGGAAGTATTCGGTGAAATATTGATCATAGTTCATATGAATAAAAATCTACTATTGTTTAACTGCATACTCGAATGCCTAAGCTTTACGTAGTTACTGTAAAACAGAATTGAAAACATGACCTTTACACCTGTGTTGTGTGATATTTGATAAAATAGATGAAACTTTAATATTAAGGCTTTTTTAGTAGGTTGTGTTAGGTTTACGTTTCTTTAGCATTGTGAAGTTCTGGAGTGCAGGCATTCTTCGACAAATATTTTGCCTTTAGAATGGAGACAGTAGAACTGAAATATGCGCCCCCCTCTAGTATTTAGTAATCTTCATTCGTCCTATCCCATTTCTCTGAAACTTCTACTGATTAAAGAAAGATGGTTGTAAATTTTTTAATCATCTATCCTTCTGTGCCTTATGTAGTTCAGTTCTTGTTTTGGGTTCATAGTCTTTCACAACTATTACTGTTTTTCTTAAGTTTAGTAGTGAAGATCATTACTCAAGCAGCGATATAAATGTGTGTGCTCAGTCGGACAGAATTGATAATTCACATGTAAAACTATCAGTTTTTGGTGTCTCACTGACTTATCGTGTTTTTCTCCACGAAATCTAAATGAATCTTACATATTTTCACTAAATGTGATGAGGTGAACTTATTGCCCATTACTGTGCAGACTGCAGTCTCGACTACTGATTTCAAACTCAGGCTTTCAGACTTTTTTATTATATTATTTTTGTTATTGTTCCCTTGTGTTCCGAGTAGAACAACACATCTCCACTTTGTTCCATTTTCTGCTGTCCACTTTTGCTGGGCTCACAGTTGCCCATTATCTCTCATCCCTCTCTCACACGATCTTCTCCATGTCACCCTCGAAGCGATGACCCACTTGTCGCTTTCCGTCTGCGTTCCACTCGAGGGCTTAGTGCGCTCTGTCACTTGACGGCCTCCTCAATATGTGTGCCCTGTCCATCTCCATTTTATCCTACATATTTGTTGGACGATGTTTTCTTGGTTAGTTTGTTCCCATAGTTTCTTGCTGCTAATTCTTTCTGACTGGCCATATGATTTGCACTTTGGAGCCATAGAATGCAGCTGTTAATGCAAGTCTTCAGTGAACTGTTGAAATAGCTTTTCGTGATGCGGGTGCCAAGTTTCTGACCTGTGTAGAAGAACTAACTGACTTGACATTAGTGTTGGAAATCCTAGTCTTGTTGTTTATGCTGTGGAGTGCAGAAGATTTCCAAATTGGTTTCAGGTTGATGAAGGCATATCTTGCCTTTCCAATTCTAACTGGCTTTGACATCTTCACTCGCTCCGTCTATGGTTGAAACGACGTTTCCTAGATAAATGGATGAAGTAACTTCATTCAAATCTTTCGCGTTGATAGTGATTGGTGCTGGTTAATGTCGCTTTTGGTTGGTTGGTTATTTTCATCACCTCCGTATTCTCTATGTTCACTTGGGGTCGTATCTTCACCGCATTGCTTCTTCAGCCAGTGTGTTGGATTTTGCCTGTAAGTTTTCAAGTTTGCGTGACATGAAACATAAAACCATCTGTGAGTTCAATGTATTCCTTACTCACATCTCATAGTCTGACGCATGATATCCAGTCCATCACAGTTAGGAATCACATCGGTGACAGTAGTCAGACAGCCTTATCTTGCTTCTGTATTCACTTCAAAGGCTTCGCTGAGTTTCCGTTGTGAATCACTTGACATGTGGCTCTCTCATATAGCTGTTGAGATTCATGAAATTTTGGTGTACTGGACGCTATAGTGATGAAGTATTTTCCGAATTACTTCTCTATGAACGTTGTCGGAGGTCTTTTCGAAGTCGATGAAATTGAGGTACATGTTTGACCGCCATCCTATGCTTTGTTCAATGATGATGCGTTGAGTTGCAATTTGATGAATACACCTTGTTCTGGATTGGAGAAGTTCTGCATCCAGTACATCCTTTATTCTCTTCAGGATGACGCGAGAGAATAAAAGGTGCACTGGATGCCAAACTCCACCCAGAACATTTTATATTTTAGTGATATATAATTGGGAAGATATCTCACTATCTTTGATATTTTAAACTAATACTTTTAACCTGTTGTATTATGAAGTCTTTTTATGATTCAGGGACATTATTAGGTAACATAACATAACATAAGCTTTATTCCAAATCAGTACTTGTGATACAGAATGGAATTCTCAGCATTTTACTACAATATTGCATCCAGTTTTTTACATTAACAATAAATAAAGTTCTACATAGTTTAAAGTTATCTCAACAACATATTAGTATGTCGGTAGCAAAGCCAAAATTAAAGTGTTTGAAGGTGTTAGAAAAGTAGATACTACTAGCATATTTACTGGCGTAAGCGATAGCAAAATGGTCGAGATATACAGAGTGTGAAAGAACGAACAAGAATGTTTTAAGTAGAGTTTGCAAGGAAGAGAGAAACAAAACAGCACATAACAAAAATAAATACAGAATGAAGAGCGAGAAAACGTTGTACCTATAAATGATGTGAGTTGGAAAGACGAGATCCATTGGTTCTACTGACTATTTAATAAGTTAAAGGTTTCATGCCTGATGCATTCTTTATCGCACAGAACACGAGCTAGGTAGGGTATGGATGAGTTTTTGTACTTACTAGTGCGGGCATATAGTTTCCTATATAGGCTTCTTGTTTTCCCTGAAGAGATACATGGGGAGAGTTGTGAATGTAGAGGGTGTTGTGAGTCAGATAAAATGGATTTCGCCCATTTTTCACATGAGTCCATATGCCTGTCCACCAGAATATTAACTAGCTGGCTAAGTGGCAAGCTGCTTACCCTGCTGACAACCTTTAACATCCTACGTAATAAGGTATAGTCTTTCTTCAATAGCCCAGGAAAGACTAAGGGGGAGCAATAGAGAATAATAGGCAGAATACGGGAGTTAACAAATTGTAGGAGTAAGGGTTGGGTTACACCAGAATGTCTTAACTTCTTGATGTAGAAGGTAAGACGGTATATTTTCTTGGAAATCGTCAAGATATGAGACGACCAGGAAAGATCAGAAGATAGAGTGACGCCTAGGTATTTAATTTCCGACTTGGTTTCTATTTCACTGCCATCTATGTTGCACACCTCGTGAGTGCTAACCAGTTTGTTTAGGTCAGATTTATGCCTAAGGGTGAAATTAACTGTTTGGCATTTGGAGGGGTTTAAGGTTAGACCGTTTTCCTTGGACCATTGGCTAATTTCCGATAAGAAGCCATTTAGTTTAGAGCAGTCACTTTGACATTTGACAGGTAAAGATACAGTTAGGTCATCAGCATATTTGACAAAGTTAATGTCATTTGAAGACGGTAGGTCATGTAGAAAGAAAGAAAAGAGAAGTGGGGAGAGTACAGCACCTTGGGGGACACCAGCTTCTGTGAGCACAGCAGAGGAGGATTGGCCTTTGTATACGGTGTACTGCATTCTGTTTGAAAAGTAGGAATGCAACCAGTTAGTGACCCAGGACTCGGTTTGTGTCATGGAGAGCTTATTTAGCAAGAGACTTCTAGGTACAGAGTCGAAAGCAGAAGTAAAGTCAAGAAACGTGCAGCGGACATATTTGGCACCTTTGTCTAATGATGAGATAATACTGTTGTGTAAGACGGCTGCAGCGTCTAAAGTACTCCTACCCTGTCTGTAGGCAAATTGTTTGGGGTCTTCGAAGCTTTTAAGGGAGGGTTCGAGTTTAAGAAGTACTAGTTTTTCCATGAGCTTTAGAAACGGGGAAGTGATGGCGATGGGTCTGAACTTTACGTTCTTGCTATTTCCAGGTTTAGGGACAGGGACTATTTTAATGTCTTTCCATGGAACAGGTACAACGTTTTCACGGAAAGAAGCATTTAGTATATTAGTTAGAGGAGAACATAAAGCATCTGCACATTGTTTTAGAACATATGCAGGTATGCTATCAGGGCCAAGACTATGTGAGGGCTTAAGAGTTTTAAGACATTTCAAAACATCGAGAGTATTGAAGTCCTGGAAGTTATCAGCTACAAGATTGGTAACGTTAGAAGTGGTTATAGTAGAAGGAGAGCGTAAAAAAGACAGATTAAGAGCATTAACATCACAAGAGGGAAAAACATTACATCGCTTACTTTTGCCAGTAATTTCATTGAAAAGTTTCCACATGCTGTTAGGAGATTTGCATGATAAAAGTGTTTGGTTATAGATAGCATTAAGATTTTTGATTTCAGATTTGATTTGAGCATTAATCTTTTTAAGTCCTAACTTGTCTTTGCATTTATATAACATTTCTTTTTGCCTGCGAAGTTGTTTGAGACGGGGAGACGAGAAGCGGTCGAGGCGTTTGAACAGTGTTTGTTTGGGACAGCATATGTCGAGGCAGAACTTAAGATAATCCATTATATTGGTGATTGAGTCATCTAATGTACTTTCATAGAATAGATCCCAGTTGGTATCTTTTAACATGCATCTTAGATTGAGTAAGTTGTCAGATGTGTAGCATCTTTCTTGTGCTTTCGTAGACAGGTGTGAGAAGATTTTAATATGTGTTTTGCTGTATATTTTTGGCAAAACGCGGACAATGCAGTGATCGGAGTTATGTATCGGTGAACGTCTACGTGTTTCATATACTCCTTCGTCATTAGTAAAAACGAGTCGAGTGTTTTGTCAAGTCGAGTGGGAAATTTGACTATGTTTGTGTGACCAAGAGCTTCAAGAAAGGAACAATCCGATGTGTTGAAGTCTCCAGTAATAACGGATAGAGAGTTGTCGAAGTTGGCAGCAGCAAACATGGTGAATTCATCAGCAAAATTAGATAGATCAGATGGAGAGCAACTAGGAGAAATGTACATGTTTGTAATATAGAATTGTTTATACTTGGGGAGGTGTTTGGGGCGACATTTGACAGTAATACAGTCAATGAAGTCATTTGAGAAGGTGAAGCAGACGTTATTTGAGACAGACCATTTGGAGTGAATAAAAGTTGCAACGCCACCACCATTTTTCTTATTACAACATTGACGGTCTTGACGAAATAAAATAAAGTCCTTTAGTGAGATAAGGTTGTCATCATACAGTTCATGCAACCACGTTTCTTGTAATGCGATTATGGCGGTGTTATGATACGTATCAGTTGACATCAGGGATTGTAGGTACATTATCTTATTTGGCAGAGAGCGACAGTTTGAGTTCATTATGACGGGGACCGTAGTTAAGTGTATTGGTGTACGTTTGAGAGCTCTCTGCCAACCACTACGATGTTTCCTTCTTGGTTTCTTTGGAATATGAAAGTCATTTGGTCGTAAATCATTAATAAAGTTACGAGAGTAAATGATTCTGTTAGAATTCATATTTAAGTGATAAATGTATGCTGGTAAACAGTAAACTGGATGCAAAATGTAGATATTTTGGTAGCAGGCCCAAATATTCGAACAGGCCGCCAAGGTCAAGGTCGAAGGACCCTTTCAAGGTAGGATTATATCTTGACTTTTATTTCATGTTTGTCTTCTCGATGTAATTTCTTCAATACATTTTATTTTTATTCACGTAGATAAGAAGTCGTTCGTTCCAATTACTCTTACTTACTTTTCCTTTTAGAACTAGTCAAATCTCTTGCCCGACCTGATTACTGGCAACCCGATGAACTGTGCACAGCATGCTATGTTTGTTGTGCTCCTTTTGGCTCTCGTCGTAGTATTCATCATTGCCGTTCATGTGGTCAAGGTGTTTGTGGATTATGCTCACGACATTATCAACCTGTGCCGAAAAGAGGCCTTGATTTTCCTACACGTGTATGTGATCGATGCTACGAACCAGATTTAAAACATTCCACCAGTGTAAGTGAATCTCGAAGTTTGGAGTACAGCAATCCAGTACAAACTCAGCAAATAATACAACAACAGAAGTCAAGCCTTCAACCTCTTCAATATAATAAATATCATCCTGCTTTCAATCCTTCAGTAAAAAAAGATTCACAAAATTAAATTAACTTCATATAAATAAATAGTTAATGATTTTTGAAGTCATTGCCTTGTGTATTCAGTATTTTAATTTTGAAGGTTTCTTTCTCTTAACTGCATTCACATTGGGGGAAGATAGATACACATGCATACAATATGCATAAACACAAACACTCATGGTTCTTTCGTTAAATCTCTACGAATGATACTATCGGATAGATAAGGTCTGTTGAAGAGGGATATTATTCACATAATGTTGCCAACGGTGGATACAGAGAGAGAGTTTCATAATTAGAAAAATAAACTGTGATCAGTTTTATCTTCATACAACTATTTATTATTTATTATTATTATTTTGTTGATTTGATTCATAGCGTCGTCGTTGTGGTCTTCGTATAATATTGACTTTTCTTTTTATTTTATCAGTGTTGTCTCATGTGTGTGTGTGTGTGTGTGTGATGCACACATACATTGTCATTACTTTTAACTTTTGCTTTACAATAAGATGTATACAGTTTCACTGTTATTATTATTATTATCATTTCACTAACTTATTTATCTATCTTACATATACAGTGTGTGTTGCATAGTTCATTAAACTGCATAAGAGATTTTTATTTTCTATTTTTTACACACTTTCTGATTGTTATTAAAATTTCCTTTTCTTTTTTGTTTGTTGCTGAAATAAGCGTGTCTTTCTCCTGCATGCGTCAGCCATGCCGCGATATGTACATTTTGATGATGATGACGATAATTGTGTTGAGAATTTCAATAGTCTAATCTTTATCGGTTTGTTTGTTTATTTTTTGTTGTTGTGGCTTTTTTTGCAAATAAATGTGAATGAATCACATTTATTTTATGCCTTCAGCTGTGACAATGCCATATGTACACAAAAATATATTAATCCTCTCATCACTTAATAAATCAATAATTAAATCAATAAATAAATAATATTGTCATAATATAATAAAAGACTAATTTAAAGAATTCGTTTATTTTGCCCCCCCAAAAAGATGGTCAACGAAGAGAGTGGATCATCCATCCTTTTTGGTTTGGTTTGGTTTTCCATCTCACTACTTTGATTATTACTATTATTATTTGTATTTTTCAGAAAATTGAATATTTGTAATCAAGAAAAAAAGTTGTTTTTTTTGTTCTGTGATTAATCACGGCATAGTTTATCCACATTCATCATTTTATGTATTTTCATCTCTGACTATTATTATTGTTATTATTATCATCACCAGGACG